CACAATTCTCTCTTTCCCTACTGAAAACAGAATGCAACCCACTTCTGAGCCCCATTATGAAGAGCCACCAGAGAACATTGACTTTGGAAGCAAGTAGTTGCTGTTGGAGAGGTTGGATTGGATGACCTTTAAAGGTTTCTTTGAACCCAAACTATTCAATGGATCCTGCTAACAGTCTAATTTATGATGATCAGAATCATTCCTGATGATGCTGCCCTTCCAGTGATGACTGACAGAACTCTGAAGGATAGTCAGGAATTCTGAGCATGGAAATGATCAAATTCTGCTTCTGCTGTTGTTGCTCTGTGATGGATTCTTCTGCTTTCATGGCAGCACACAGACATCTACAATAGAGCTTGTATTTATTTTCTTGGCAGTGTGTCTCTTTCTTGACTGTAAACGGACCTTTATAAATTGTCTGTATAAATAATGTCTAAGGCACTTCACTATTATTACAGATCAATAATTCCAAGTAAACCATCATGATTTTCAAAACACAAAACCCAAGCAAATGCCCAAATTTTACTTGGAAGTACTCTATTTAGTACTCATTCAAAGGGAAAAGTTACCCTGCCCATTAAATGAAAAATATCATTTAACTGCACAAACAACAACTGCTGTTTCATTCCTAGGGTGCAGTTACTGTGAATTCAGGTATGGTTAAGATTTTCACATTAAATCTGAACTTGGTAAATGCTGGCAGGAGTGGAACAGAGTCTACAGAACTGGGTACAGAGCTGGGTCTCTTTTACCCAGAGCCTGTATTTTTCTTGGAGAAGAGAAAGAAATGAAAGTAGAAAGAATAAATGGCTATTTTCACTTCTACGTGTTTTATAAAGGAATAAATTAAAAGTCTGAATTACTCCAACACATTTAAATAGTAAGTAAAGTCATGGAAGACGGAAAAGGCAGAAATCTATTGAAAAGTCTATTTTTTATTTTTAAGAATGACAGAAGACTGAAAAGCTCCTTTCAGAATTGTGTAATTTTTTTGTTGTTGTTGTTTTAATACTTCTGACTGGAACAAAACCCCCCATCTTTCAACAGCATAATAAAACTTTGCTTCACTTTATGAAAAACTGTTTTATCTCAGCTTGCTTGGATATTCAAATGCCTGTCCCCTGCCCTCTCCTTTGTCCCCAGGATTTGTCTGTTGGATGTTTCACAGCCTCGTGCTGTCACATGCCAGACTCAGAACCAGCTCTCCTGTGATGCACCACAAGGTCTGTGCAGCACAGCTCTAAGTGGCACATAGTGAAACTTTTAGTGGGAATCCCAGTTTACAGGACAGCAAAGACATCCAAGCACCTGGGATTTTGACTGACATCTGCAAAAATTCACTTGTTTTTCCAGAAGAAAACACAAAATTTCTGTTTTCCACAAATGCCCAGAAAACTATCAGCTGAAAGATTTTGATCAGCCTTCTTTTTAACAGGAAGGCAGGATGAAGAAGGGAGAAAATCTATGTATAAAATAGGTAATAACCAGCCCATAAACATGCAGAGTTGCTCCTAAATCGATTTGCCTGCTCTATTCCAATCAGTTCAGTGGCCACATGTTCCACCTGAGAGCTGAGTGGGTGTTTCCATTGGTGACCTGGCCTCCAGATCTGCTGGGACCAGAGTGTGGAATCTGTCCCTACAGGAAGATTGTTTAGATCTGGTCAGAGGGGTTGCCACATCTCCCTCAACCAGGGTGAGCTAGGGTTTTTTCTGATGGTAAAGTGAATTTTTTGTTATGGGGACAGGGCTTTACACTCTGCCATGTTTTAGTCCAGGAGGGATTTCTGGCCACACCACTTTCTGCTGACAGACACCTGCATCCTCCAGCTCAGTGCACCAGGCTCCTGCACCACCAGGCTGCCAGGAAATCATCATCTTCTTTTTCATTTGAAGTCACTAACTGGATTTGTTTGGGGTTTTTTGTGGGATTTTTTTTTTTTTGGTTCTACAGTCATGGAGCAGGATACACTGAGCCAAACCTGACTGCAGTTTGCAAAGACACCTGCATTGTGCCTTCTGCCTTAGCCAAGCTTATTATACAAATTCATTATTAGATGCTACAGAACTACCCATCCTTGGCACTGGAATCTTCAAATAAGATGAGGATGATGCCCCACAAGAGCAACAGAGCCTCATGTGCTGCATGTGCTGCTAAAGCCAGGTGAAACTTCTGACAGCAGCATCCACAGGTACAGCTCCCTGCAGGGAGGCCACCAGAGGAACAGGCAGGGCTCAGCCTCGGGAGGGCTCTTTCCTGGGAGAGATCCTATTTCCCAGCCCCTTGGCCCCAGTTACACCTGGGAGTAACAGGATACCTCTGAGTCCATATGAATCATCCCGCAGGGCTTGGGGCTCCCTCCTAGAGCAGCCCTGGTCTGTAAAACTGCATTTGTTGAAGTGTTTCCAAAGTGCTTTTTTCATAACAGGCTTATTTTCTTCCTTAGGAAAATACTTATTTTCCTAATTTTATTTGGCAGCACAGTTTTATCCAATTTTTCCTTTCCCAGAAACTACGATGGAGATTATGAAATTTGGAAAACAATTCATAATATACATACATGATTTAATTACTATTCATTCATTAGTTCCAATATCCTCAGAATTATGGAATTAATACAGAGATCAGGTCTGGCATAAAGGGCAATATCTTCTGAAGCACATTGTCCAGAATATTTTTTTTCAAATTATTTCCCCTTCATCATGTTGGTCTTAGAGATATAGAATCTTAAACTGCACTGTTCTGGGAGCAAATAAACTCCCAGAGACTCTATCATGCCTATCCTAAACGAAAGTGAATTCCTAAAATTTTGCACATCAGAATTCATGGGAATATGTGAAAGCCTCAACTTTCATCTTTATATAGAAGGCAAAACCAAACCCTCAAAGTTTTGTAAAACAATTTGAATTCATGACCCAAGCACATACCAAAGAAACCCTCTCAAAATTAAATAACTAGATATAAGGATGCAAAATACAAGATTTATCAGTAAACTTCACTCTTCTAATTCAGGACATGGGAGCAAAGAGGAAACAAAAATCCTTCAGGAAAAAGCCCTGCATTTGAATCTTAAGAGGAAATGAAATTTCCTGCACTTTGGTCACATAAAAGTTTTGGCATTGAAAAAAAATCAGTAATTTTCTTAGTGTTCACTGCATGAAGAAAAACAACAGCCCAGAGAAGAAAGCAGGAATTAATTGTACTTAAAGTAGGGATAGCCTGCAGGGATGGCCCAATTTGGTGAGAAAAGCCAAAGCGATGCTGGAACAAAGAACCCAAAACAAAAAGCTTTCCTAGGCATCTCCCACATCCCAGTTTTCAATAAATCTGGCTGCATGTGTCTGTTCTGTCCTGCCACGCTCAGTGCTGGGGAAACAAAACAACTGAGCAACAAAGGCAATTTTCAACATCACCAGAAATGGGCCTAAAACACAAAATGAGACTTGCTTTTTATGAGCCAGCTTTCCCAAGGGATACTCCTCGGGAGTTTCAGGTAGATGCTCTGATGGGGACAGGGAAAGAAAGCTCAAAATTCCCAGAAGTTAAAAGTGCCTTTCTAAAGAATGCAACATGGAATAAGAATCCATTGGCTTAATTTCACTTCTGTTATTAGCACAAAGAGCTGCAGTGGGTCGGATCCATGACCCACCTAATTCATGGTCTGTTGCTGATGCCCTGGAAAAAAGTGTAGAGCATGACAAGTGGGCAGTGATGCCCAGTTTATCCTCTCAGCTCCATTTATGTACTGGTTAAGGGATTGCCAAAAGTGGAAACTGTTATCTAAGCCATCATGTTTGATAATCTCCAATAAATCTCACTCTTTGGGTTAGACAGGCTGGTTTTTATGAATGCCTGTCCAATTATGAGCCATCATGATATATTTTCCTACTGTAAAAACAGTTAAGCAAAACTCCTTGGCCAGAAATATCAGCCAAGCCTGAGATTAAATAAGCTTGGGAAAATTCAGCCCGGATACACTCAAAAAATAAATACATCAAAATGCACGTGTCTCTGCTAAAACCCACAGTCTTTAATCAAAATTCCCACTGAAGTGAGTAGCGAAAGGTGAGTTGTTGCCAAAGTTCATAGTGAGAGCCATGGGATGAGAAGCAAAGTTCTGTCAAAAATGAGAAATTGCCAAGGAGAGGGAGCAGGAGGAACAGATTGGTTCTTGACACAGCAATCTCAGGCTGCCTTGAAGTCAAGGGACCTCAAAGAGACACTTAAGCTGGTGCTCAGGATTCTGCTGAGCTGGGGCCTGAATGGTTATTATTTATACTCTTATCACACAGAAATGGGAATTCCACTGGAAAAGGGAAAAGAAATTGAAAAAAGGGAGAGAAAGGACAGTAGCACAGGCTCACAGAAGTACTGCAGACATCTTTGTTCTGCAGACTTTAGGGAGAGCACTTAAACAGGAAGAGGGACACTTTGGATATTTTACTTAGTGGTTTAAAATGCTGGTATTTAGCTATACACACAACTCATGCACTTGTGCAAAACCCCAAACCAGCCAGTCTGTACAGACATACCAACCACTGATAAGGTTTAACTGCAGCAACTCCAGAAGGTTTGAAATCCTCGGCCAGACACACACACGTGCTTGTGCCACCAAAGGGTTTGTGTTCTGACACTCACTGCCACCAGCACCTGGGCTTGCAAATCCAAAGGCACCTGAACCGTTTTTTCTACACCTTTGGCCAAGTAGCCCACAGGTCTGGGAAGGGAACAAACACAACAGCATGAAAAGTGCTTACAGTTTCACATTTCTACAGAGAAATGGAAAACAAAGTAAGTGCAGCCTGTGTGCAGCCTGGCTGGATCTAGACCCACCTCCTACAACAACTCCATTTTAGAAGTGAGTCTGGAGAAACAAAAGTCTGTTTGCTTCAAAGGGAAGCCTCCTAAGAAATCTTCCTGCAGGCTCAGAGACCTGAAGCATTCCAAACACTTCATTTCCAGTCTTGGAACAGAATAAAGCAGAAAAAATCATGCCATACCTGCTCCAAAGGCAAAGAAGAAGCTCTTGTCTCTGTTCTCCCTTAAAAGTGACATCACTCTTCTCCCCATCCTCTCATTCCTCTTGTAGATGAGCTCCTGTCTGAAGTAGCTGTCTATTTCCTGAGCTGTCACCTGCTCGTGGGGTGGGAGTGTTGTGTTGATGAAGTTTGGGACCTGAAACAGAGAGAGAGAGAGGCCATAGCCCACGTAGTATTGGTTAAGGAATGCACAAAACACTGCGAGTTTTAATCCAGCCTTCTTCAAGCCACCTGAGCACCACTATCACACAAAAACCAGCAGAAGATCAGAGCATGGGAGGTTGTTAGGAGCTCGCAAAAAAAAAAAAAAATTCCCGATGAATATACTTTCTTTTAAAAAGTGAATTTACTAAAGGAAACTTTAGTTAATTTTGATTTTTCTCTGTCCCTTCCTCAAAATGTAGTTTCAGGTGTTACATTTGGGTGAGTTACTTGGACCTTTATTCTCTGCTTGTTCAAAAAAAATCATTGGCTGTTTAATACCAAATTCCTGTGATCTGTTCTCAGCTGAGGTCACCATGAACCAAGTAAGGACTGTAAGACTTGGCTTGTATATGTGGTTTTTAAGAACCAAACAGTTTAAAAAGAGGACAGGATAGCACATGCAGACACAGGAAGATGTACACAGGGTAAACCCCCTTATCCTCACATGCTAGTAGATCTCACCAGAGAAAACCATGCATTGCAACACCTAAATCCCTGGAATATTCCTGATATATCTAAGCAAGAACTGCTCCTTCAGTCCCTGCTTTTGTGAGGAGAGATGTTCACAGACACAGCAGAAAGGCTGAAACCCCAAGGATTTTGGTCAGGGCAGCAGACCTAGGAATGAGCCAAGATCCAAGCTATAATGGACAGATAAACCAAAAGTCTTTGATAATCAGGACAAGTGTTTTGACACAGTGAAAATCCCAGGTGTACTGCAAGGGTTTGGGAGCCCACGTGCCCTGCAGAGAGAAGAGCTGTAAAGGGGCAGTGTTTGATGAGTGCTAACAGGACCCAAGCACATTCTGGTGATTCTCTGTGCCTCATCACTGGAAAGCAGATTAAGCTGCAAACCCCAGATTCAGATTTCTGAGTCCCTAGGTACATGTAAAGTTGACAGGATTTCCAGTGTTAATCTGAGTCGCTGGTAATGACATTGCATGCACAGCCCATGAGGGGAACATCCCTCGCTCTCTGTGCTGAAACACTTGGTGCAGTGACTCTGTTACTTGTGTTAATTCCATCTCTGGTTTTCTACTATACAAAATTCCTGTGCTCATTTTCTAAAACTTGCCTTTAGTTTTTGTTTTTCATCCCACTCTTCCTGTTCCACTTGGTCACACGGTTTTATCGCAATTTTTGTCTCTTCCCAGCCTCTTCACTCATAATGCTTCTCCAAAAGTCTTCAGCAAGTCTTAGGGAGAAAAACTGATTTCCATCTTCCCAGTAACTCTCCTTAAAGCTTTGTCATTACGGGCACATCTGCATCACTTCTAATATAAGTGAGCAGCAGAGATTTCTCACCATGCATTATGCAGATGAGTCTGCACCTCAACCTGGATACACAATAAAGGCTGTTCCCAATTGAGTGAGACAGAAAAGGGGATCACATCTCCTGAAAAAGGTGATCCCAAGGGGATGGAGATAAAACTCCATGTAAGGGACCCTGCCCCAGCGAGTGTCACAGACCAGCTGGACCTTTGATTTTCCAAACTGCTTCTCAGCCTGCTTTGCCAAATCACCACGCTCCTTACAGTATGTTCTTCTTTAAAGGTTCAGTCACATTACCCTGAGTTATTCCTTCCTCCAGGCTTTCCAGCATGGCTTGGCATCACCAGTGTAACTTGTGAACTCCTCAGAGCATGCAAATACTTTGCACCTTGTTCTGAGTTTAGCCCCGAGCCAGCACTCAACAAGTAATAAGACCCATTAAGTCAGACCTATTGGAGACACCAGTTTCCTGTGAAAACCCAAGGAAGTTGCCTCCATGTCTGGCAAGAATACGTGTTTGTCTCAAAGGAATGGAGGAGCAGACTGATGGTGTCAAAGAGATAAAATGCTGCTGGCTACAGCAGCAAAGGACACAGTGGTTTCCATTCCTAGTGAAAAACAGGGAGAGATTTATATTGTAGGAATAAAGTCTGAAGAATGAGTAGCAATTTTACACTTGCAGTAACCTCTGTAATGCAAAGCTGTAAGTCAACTGGTCCACGGTGATACCACAAACCTTTGCATCTCCTCTATACTGGGGCTCTCATGCAGGAGCCAGGGAAGCCTTTAGGCACTGAAGTGGAAGGAGACATTTTCTGGAAGCATCTGAAGGCTCAACACCCACATAAGAGAAGCCTCTTCTTCCCTGCTTCTGGCTGAAGTGAAGGCTGGGACCTGGTTTTGAATCAATTGAGATGCTCTGGGGAAACAAGGTACAGCCTTGCCTGTGAGCACAGCCTGCCCCTACACAAAGCAAGAGCAGCAGTGCTGGGGAACCAAGCAGCTTTGTGCATCCCACTGGTGATGGAGCCAAAAAAAGATGTTGTGTAAGGTCTTTGCCTAGAAGGGAAGCACCTTGCACCTCCTTGTGCAACTCCATCACTTGCAATCCTACATCCACATTTAACCTAGAGTATGTTCCTGCTATTTATCTAATCTAAAATACAGTACACAAAACAGAGTCATTTACTTGCCTTTTCCCCCCCTTTCCTTTCTTTCCTTCTCTGCCAATGGCAGAGAGATAAACTTAAAACCAAGGACTGGATTTTGTCAATCTTTCTTTTACTTGCCCAAGGAACAAGACAAAGGAAGGCATCACCTGGAGAGGCACAGCATCAGCCACAGGTCCTGCTGCACTGTGTGCATTCCTGCATTTCTGATATCTGGCAAAAATAAAATCTGCACGTGTGTTTCAGCATGTGTGTGGCAGAGGACAGAAGATAAATGACTGCAGTAAGTATGCCCCTACACAGTAGTGCAACCACACTCTGAGCTGCGACACTTGCCCCATTAATCACCTCTGCTCCTCCCTCCATCCAGGTCCTTTCCACATTCAGTGACACACACCATGCCTGGCTTCAGGGAGACAGCTGCCCTTGCTGATTTAAGAAACCTTTAAACCAGACAGGGATCAGGAAGTCAAGAAACATTCACACGCAATTAGGAAACTCTTAACTGGAGCCAGAATTTAAGTTTGGGGGATTTTTTGGAAAAGAGAAGATCTGTTATTTTAAAAAGGATGGGCTAAAAGTGAACCAAAAGGATGTACCTTCCCCCTTCTTTTATTTTGCTTTCATTCTGAGAAAAAATTGATTTTAGCATTTTAAGGATATGAGTCTGTTGTTTTTGAGCTGAATGGATGAGACATTTGCTGTGCTCCTGGGTGGGGGACTGATGTAATAATACCTGAATATTGCTACCAGTATTTAAATGTACAATGGAGTGGATGATGTGTCTGTTGAAAAATCCAAACTTCTAATTTTGCTATTCACTTAGGAAAGTAACAGCTGGATCAGCAGAAAAACACATCACCTGGGGTGTGCCCACTTCTAGGGGATGTACAGGACAAGAGATGAATAGATTCTTTACATCCAGTCTCTGCAAGCTGTGCAGTTTTCTGAGAACCAAACTAATATATAATTCTAGTGGAAACTCAATAATGTATCTCATTGAGGGGTTCAAGATAAAAAATATTTTGTTTTACTTAATAAGGTAGCACTCCTCCTTTTCTCTATTCCTATTTCCTTCAGGTTACAGCTCTCCTATGGACAGTACAGATGGACCACAAACTCAGTCATTAGGTACACCCTGCATTTCTCAATTAGACTTTTGAGGTTAAATAAAAGCACTTTGAGAATAAAAAAGAAATTCCATCTTTGCAAAAATTTCTTCCCCTTCCCACTGTCTGTGTAGTTTTACTTGAGTCAGTATCCCTGATGGAATATATGTGTGGATAAAGCTCTGTACACACGTCTGAACTCACAGGGCTGTGGGATGCAGGCCATAATTCTTCACCTTTGAAGTCAGTGGGAGCTTTAGGGAGAAGAAAGAGGAAGGATTGTGGAGTGGTTATGACACTACCCTGAAAAAATGGTTCTGCTCCCATGGGTGATACAAATCTCTTACATGATCACAAGCATGTCATTTGGGTTTAAACCTTCAAAGGAAACTCAGCACTTAACCTCCACTAAGTGTCTTTGAAGCATTTGGCTTTATTCCTCCTGTCTCTCAAAAGTCCATCTGTAAAACGGGGACAGCAAGACTTTCTACCTTGATGTTACATACAAGGCACTGGCTCAGTCTGGCTCTGGAGGGACCCAAGGGAGATCCAAAGTCCAACACAATGCTCAGCAGTAACCTCTCTTCCCATAAATTTCCACAGAGGCTTGGATTCTGCTGCAATCATTAGCATAACAGCTAACAAGATACTTTAGCACAGAAAAATGCATCAGCCATAACTCAAGATCTATGCTACGCTTTCAGCTTTGTCTGTACAGACAGACAGAAAGAAAAGACAAAAAAAAAAGAAAAAAGAGAAAAGCAAAATATATTGGTGCACAGTCTTTTACCACATTTAGGGCTTACTGCCAAAGTTCAGCTGAAAATGCATGGACACAGGACTGTATTAAAAGTACATCTTTTTTATTTACTATTTTTTAATATTTGGACAAATATTCTGGGCAGAGGCACAATGCCAGAGTTGTGAATATCTATCTGCTAATAATTTTTTTGGACACGTATAAGCACCATCATCTTTGATTACATTTTTTTTCCTACTTTGGAGTTATTGGCTACAGTGGAACTGCTCTAGACCCAGTCCAGTATCAAATCACTATCATGTGTGGAGTAACAGTGTTATCGTTCCTACTCCTATGCAAGACATTTCCCAATCCTCTGATAACCCTGTTTACCCTCGTTATGTTCCAGTGATGAGAGTGTATTTCTGGAATGTGCATTCAAATTGTAATATTAGGTCAATCAAAAAACAACATTACCAACACTGGAATAAAGAGATGTGTGCCTTTCCTCACCTGCTTGTGGGCAGATGTGATCTTCAACCATAATTCCACTTGCAGATGGAGAAGAGGAAGCTGAGATAGGGGAATGGGAAGCCAGCCCCTGCCATGAAATATCCTAAAACCTCTCCAGCTACTATCTTCC